CAGCAGCAGCAGCTGCTGCTGTTGTTTTTGTTCCTGCTCCTTTTGCTGCTGCTGCTGCTGCTGCTGCTGCTGCTGCTGCTGCTGCAGTTTCTTTGAGATATATATCTACCAGCCGCTGTCTCTCTGCTGAGGAGACAGGCAGCAACTCTAACTCATAAGACTCCACCCGCAGCACAAGCGGGAGAAAGCCACACAAAGCCCACGCGGGAACCGATCCCGATCCCGATCCCCGCACCCCACACTCCTGGCAGCGTCTCGCCAGCTCCAGTGCTGCAGCCACGCTGCACTCGGGGTCGTTCCCGCTGCTCCTGCTGCTGCTGCTGCTGCTGCTGCTGTTGCTGCTGCTGTTGCTGTTGCAGCCCCACTTCTGAACCAGCTGAGTATACACCTGAGATAGGAGACAGAGAACAACAGCAAAAGCTACTTGCTGCTGCTGCTGTTGCTGCTGCTGCTGCTGCTGCTGTTCCTGTCGTTGCTGCTCCTCCCACATACATAACAGCAACAGCTGCGCCCCCACCAGCAGCAGCAACACCATCATCATCAGCAGCAGCAGCACCACCATCATCAGAATCACCATCACCATCATCAGCAGCAGCAGCAGCAGCAACACCAGCAGCAGCAGCAGCAGCAGCAGCAGCAGCGGTACCTGGTATGCTGCAGCAGCAACACTAGCGAGGCTGGTGAGCGTCGAGCCCCCCCTCTCCAGGGGAATGAAGGGGGGGACCTTCAACGCAAACGGACGAGGGAGATCGCTGTACACCTGAACAGCAGCAGCAGCAGCAGCAGCAGCAGCAGCAGCAGCAGCAACGGCAGCAGCAGCAACAGCAGCAGCGGCAGCAGCAACAATTCGTGTCAATGAATTCATGCCTGAAAGGCAACGGCCTCAGCACAGCATCTGAACTCCGCAGCAGCAGCAGCACGAGCAGCAGCAGAACAAGCAGCAGCAGCAGCAGAACAAGCAGCAGCAGCAGCAGAACAAGCAGCAGCAGCAGCAGCAGCAGCAGAATAACAAGCAGCAGCAGCAGCAGCAGAACAACAACAAGCAGCAGCAGCAGCGCGAGCCAAAGACAAGAGCATCACCAACAGCATCATCACCACGCCCATCAGCAGGACCGCGGCGTCAAAGACAAGCAGCAGCAGCAGCAGCAGCAGCAGGAGCAGCAGCAGCAGCAGCAGCAGCAGACCTCAACGATACGAGTTGTGGTTGCTGGTAGAGACAGCTCATCAGCTGTCTCCATTTGGCGCTGCACCCGGCAGTGAGTCGCAAACTGACGCTCAGCCAGCTGCCGCATATGCCTGACACGCAGCAGCAGCAGCAGCAGCAGCAGCAGCAGCAGCACCATGAGCAGCAGCAGCAGAAGCAGCAGCAGCAGCAGCAGAAGCATAAGCAGCAGCAGCAGAAGCATAAGCAGCAGCAGCAGAAGCATAAGCAGCAGCAGCAGAAGCAGAAGCAACTACAGAAGTAGCAGCAACAGGAACAGCAGCAACAGCTGCAGCAGCCACAGCAGCACCAACAGCAGCAGCAGCACCAACAGCAGCAGCAGCACCAACAGCAGCAGCACCAACAGCAGCAGCAGGAGCAGCAGCAGCAGCAGCAGACTTGAGTCTTTTATCTTTATCCCATAGTGGGTGTTTCATCGATTCAAATTTATATTTTCTCCACCGCGAGGGCGGGGGCTGATAGAGGCTGCGGTGTATAGACACCAGAACAAACTTAAACACGCAGCGGCCCCGCAGCAGCTTTTCTTCTTGTTTACAGGGTCGTGCTGCTGCTGCTGCTGCTGCTGGGGATGCTGCTGGGGATGCTGAGGATGCTGCTGTTGCTGCTGCTGCTGCTGCTGCTGCTGCAGCAGCAGCAGCAGCGGCCTCACGGCTACGCGCCTTTGATTGGGTGTATGAAAGCATTTCTACGTCTGTCTCCTCCCCCTTCTCTTGGGATGCTGCTGCTGCTGCTGTCTTACTGGCTGCTGCTGCTGCTGCTGCTGTTGCTGTTGCAGCAGCAGCAGCAGCAGCAGCAGATGTGCCCTGTCTCCTGTCTCCACCGTCAGAATCAGAGGAGCCGTCAGCACCGTCTCCGTTTGTGCTGCTGCTGCACTGGCTGCTGCTGCTGCAGCTATGTGGGGTTTTCGCTGCCGCGCTGCTGCCCTTCCCAGCAGCAGCAGCAGCAGCAGCAGCAGCAGCAGCACCAGCAGCAGCAGCAGCAGCAGATGAACGAGCCTCACGACATAGACTCTCAGGGGGCTCTGCTGTATCGAACAGCAGCTCCACCACCCTGTACAGCCCATCATACCGAAAACCAACCTCTGGCGCATACCTGCAACCAGCAGCAGCAGCACCAGCAGCAGCAGCAGCAGCAGCAGCAGCAGCAGCAGGAGCAGCAGCAGCAGCAGCAGCAG